ATTTCAAAAAATGAAATCCTTACTCAAAAATAAAGTATATATGTTCAATTTTCAAATTATTCGCAGATACACCCAGCTTTTTTTTATGTTGATGATCAACATAAATATGCAGTATATTATAAGTATGATACACAGGCTAGTGAATGCCCCTCTTTCAGAAGTAAATTTCAATGAAGAACTCAATATCATAAAACAGATTGCAGTCAACAACGAATACAACGTTAATTTCATAGACAGTATTCTTTAATAAAGCTATTCAAAAAGTTCATCCCGCCATCAGAAATAATAATCAGAATTATATAACTTTAACCTATTTCGGGTCATCAACTGAAAAATCAGTATCATTTCGACATAAACGAGTCTTAAAAGTAGCATATAGAACAAATAACACGTTGGGAAGTTTCATCAAACATAATAAAGACATAACTTCTAAGTTCGGAAAATCAGGGGTATACAAACTCAACTGTGAATCTTACCCTAAGGTTTATATCGGTCAGACAGGTCGTACGTTCAATCAGCGCATTCATGAACATGAGATGAATTTTTTGAAACAGAAAACAAATTCAACAGACGCCAACCATATATTCTAAGAAAACCATAGTTTCGATGACAATTTCGTCATTCTACACGTGGAGAATAAAGGAAAAATCTCAATAATTTTGAATCATTAGAAATCAACAAACTCAAAAATTCTAACATTTCACTTAACGATCAACTAGACCTTAATAGTTCACCACTGTTGATGGTTTTATTTTCTCAATAGGTAATAATATGTATTTGCGGTCAACCCTTCCAAGTTAATCCGGTATACCGTATTTTAATGTAGATATTGTGCCTATTTTCCGAAAATGAAGCTTTATCAAACCTTTCCATAGGTAATTCTAATCCTTCAGGTTGGTAGGTTCAGTCTTATGATGGCCTCTGTTTTTTATTTGTGCCTTAGAAAATTCTTTGGACCTATTTGTATATGGATGATTTCTATGATTCATCCAGTTCATTGTTGTTCCGAAGAGAATAAAACATTCGGTACCTATTTGTGAATGTCTGATGGTGGGTAGGTTCGAAAGAATGTATAATAATGGAGTATTCTAGAGAAGTAAGGAAATGAGAGGAAATACTTTCAAATTGAGATGTTTCGAAAGTATCCCTTTTTCATAATTATGAGCTCACAAGTCTTCAATTATAATATTAGTGATCCTCAATATTCTTCACTGATAACTAGATATTTTCCTAGCTGTAGAGAAATTCTGCTAACTACTCAAAACAGCCAAGTAAAGGAGACAAGTTCAGAATAAATCAACATTTCGAAGAATAATTGAATACTTACTGCCAAAGTTTTCCCAAAGAAATGCCTGAATCTATTATTGTGTGAGCATTTCATTATCAGAGACTAAATATTAAAAATATCACAGCTATAGCCGTCCCTTCGTTTGTTTTCTTTTTTAATTAAAAAGTGATGCCGCCATTTCTGTTGCAGCTTCTTTATTTTCAGTTCGGCGGGTATGGTGCTGAACTTATCAGATCTAAAGTCTTTCCAACTTTATAAAGTTTCCTTCTCCCCTATCTCTTGCAGATAGACTGCAAGAATTTACCAGAAAATTTCACTTACTTCCCATATTATTAGCCGACGAATTTCTCAGATGGCCTGAAAGTTTCCGTCTAGCAAAGAAATGCAAAACATCCCTAACTGAACTGAAGTGGATATACCTACATTTCGCCGATGAACCTAGAGTTATATATAATATATAATATATATATAATAATCAACCACAAACACATAGATCAGCAGCCATGCGTATGAAATGTTTCGTTGGTTCAGATGAAACCAAAATATCCAGTTATGATTCGTAAGTTCATTGTAAATTCATACAAATTCCCAAAATAAAATAAACAAACGAGCATAATAACTGACAGCCTTCAATGAAGCAAGTTTCATTTCGGCTTGCTGAACCAGAGATTGGGCAGAACTAATTGGATTATGCTAGCTGGATCATTCAAAAAACGGACTCCCATTAGGCTATATGTATAATAAATCCAAGATAGACAACGATACCCACAAAACATTGTGTATTTCATTGCTCTTTTCAAAGAAAATGATCCATTTGAAACTAGTTTATTTCTACATAGAAAAATTAAATGATGTTTGTAAGATATTATTTCATCAGGATGATGATATTTTCATCGAACGAAGGAATGTGATTCATTCAATATTGTATCAACGGGATTTAATGGTTATTATACGTTAAATTCAATAGAAATACATCGCCGAAACAAAGGAAATGCTTCTTCAAAATGATTATGCATCTAGTTCATTTCTAGCATTCAGTTAATTCAACAAAAATGATTCAACCACAAATACTTCGTTGATGCGAAAATTACTTTTCCCAAGTATGACTTGAATGGCGATTATATCACATCTATACAAAACCTCTGCTAATGAAAAATCATGGATTGGCCGTTTTTCAAGGAGGAAAGGTGAATAATAAGTCGTCCAAACTGACCAGAAGAATGAAGAGTGATTAAATACATTTGCAAACGTACAGGTACCGTTAAGTTGATACGAAAAATCTTGATTTGGGTCGAACAGATCAACAGATACTCCTTTTAATATTCCAATTATGCTGGAAATTTATTTTCTAAATAGTGTCAAAGAATAATCTGTTCTGTCATAGATAACTTATACTGTATAGCATCATGAAAGACATTCTGAGGAAGGAGAATATGTGTTTCAATATAGCCTGAATACAATTGATTAGTTTGTCCCAAAATCAATTGGACAATCAAATGTGGTTTTACACATTTTATATTCAGAAAAATCTTCAGTGGAGGTAATACAGGTGATGAATAGAAATATCGTCTCAAATTTGCAAACGATACAAAAATGCAGGCAATCCAACAAGAATCAATATACATGTCGCCTGTGTTGGCACAAAACATATAGAATCAAAAGACTTATGCGACCATAACAATTATAACGTTTCAATTTGTGATTCTTTGACATTATTCGACTTTTTATGTCTGATACGAACAAAAATTCACGGTTGAAAACAGTTTATTAACCGTAAATAAACGAACTAATATGTGCTAACGGACGAGTAGTTTGACAGGTCGTTGAAAACCATTCTTTAATTTCTGTGAAATTGAATGCACTACTCATGAATGTGTTTCCATGACATTCTTCAAATTGTGTTCCAATAGGTAGATAAACCTACAGGGTGGCCAAAATTTTGTTATCCCACTATTGATATCTCTGAAACAGTTAGAGAAAGAAAGTTGGTTGAATGGAACAAAAGTTGCACATTCCGGGGGACCTATTTCCGGGTGCTAGCCCCTTTATTCAGAGGAATATAGAAAACTACAGACATTGTTTCTTCTATTTCGTTCGCTATTCTATCTGGTGATATCAGATATTCGATACAACGTTTCGTTTATCCAGGGCCATCCTCAACTTCTCAGAGATTGCAATAGTGGGACAACGAAATGTGGGCCACCCTGTGTATACCTATAATTCTTTTTTTCTATAAAAAATAGAGGATACGGAGAATATGTACTATATATTCATCTCACAGAAATAAGTTTACAAATCTTGTACTACACTGTATATAATGTGAGACTCCAGCTGTATTAGAAAATGACAAATATTTCGACCGAATTTGTGATTATTTTTCAAGCTTGCCTATAGTATTCATGAGCATGTAAATCTATCTCAGCAAATCGACTACCCATATGATATTCAAATTTGTTCATTGGCGTCCCATAAAACTAGTAAATGTCTCATGAATACTCATTTTACGGGTATCAATTTTATATTATTTGTACATACCTAGGATGAGATAATGCAATGAGAAAATCTAACTACATATGTCAATAGCCTTATCCTAATGCAATGAGGAACGCCGGGAATGTATTCCCATAAATCACTTCATAATCCAACATACAGGAAATAGATCGATTATCAATTGAAAATCAGCAATGAGAATAGTTACGTAGGCTATACTGGGTGGTAGCTGCAACTGTAACCGAATGTACATCATTGGACCCTAAACTCTAAGAAAATTGATGTTCCACAAATAACAAAAAAACTAGGTAGAAGAAATTTGGGATACTTCACGTTGATCCTGGGAATATTTCAAATTTGAATGAGTTTTGGAAGTATATAATATAAGGTATACCTATATTATTTTTCACGAAGTAATAATGATACCTTTATATCAGCAAGTTTTATTGTTGTTGACGGGCCACAAAGATGTAACGATTACTTATTTTACTCGAAACATCTCACAACAATTAAAGCAGATGATTGTTCTTTCAATTCATATTTCAATAAAAATAACCAGAATGCTTGTGAAACGGCAAGAATTCAACTATTATTTTTGCAGTTGAATAGTTGTGTTTTTATGACGGCTATTATACGTCGATGAGCTGAATCTTTGCAGCTATAATATCACAGGATAATTGCATACAGAAAAATAATCACTTCTTAGTTGCTATTCCTTGAAAATGAATAGAATGTCGTTGGAATGAAAGCTACGAAATATATTTTCCTGAAATGTTTTATGCATGACGATGGCAAACTTTGCCTCTATTTTTTCCCTTATCACAGAAAATTATGTGAACGAGTTCCATAAATAATCATAACCTCATTTACAAATTGATTACGTGCACAAGGGTATTCATAAAATATGCATCAAGCTCCACAAACTACTAGGGAAAACAACAAAGAGTCTGTAGAAAGTTGGGTGAATGGTGAGTTAGTTGTATGCCTGTTTGACGAGAATGAACAGCAAGAACTAGAACCCACCGATGAATAGATAACATTATTTTGCGAGCTTTATACCTCCAACCAGTGGCGTAGACATATATCAATGGGCAGTGATGAATCTGAAAAAATTTAACATATCAACAGGGGCACTCATGAACGATCGAAGAAACCCAACGTCAAAGATTGTTCGAAGCCTCTAGTCAAAAATTTGGAGTCAATAAAGATAATGTTCCCTTAGGTGGTGAATTCGCCCCAGCATTCCGTCCAACCCCTGCCACGGTACGCGTAGTCACTGCCTTATTAGGCGATTTATGCTCAGAAAATTCTGACTGCATGATTCTGTACAGTCACTGCGACAAAGGCGCCTGTACCTGCCTACCTGATCATTATGAGTCACCTGATCGTCAGAAATGCATAGGTAAGTAAAAATTTCATTTATTTTCAAAAATTTTATATTGGATTCGATGACGAGAAAGATGATTATTTCAATGAAGCTTCGATATTCCATACATATTTCATAAGATCTGCCTCAGAAAAAAGTATCTACATATCTGAAAAATACGATTTCTGCATATTACAATTTTGACCATGAGAGGATCACGTTTGTATTTTAACGAAATGAACCAATAGATCTTGACAACTAGAATATGAAATTCAACATTAGATAATCAAGGACAGTTGAAGTTGAGACATAATGTATATACAGGGTCATCTATAAAAGATGAGAAAAATAATTCAGTGATGGATCGTTAATGGTAAATCGATAACCCTTACTAAACATGAAAACATAACTTATACATAATTGTTATATTACATTGTTACTTTTTGATGTTATTCAGAGATATTTGTTCTAAATTTGTTCTAAAATTTGTTCCATGTAACAGATACCTTCGTACCTCTTTCAAATATGGCAATGTAATGTTAATGGTAAATATTATATAAATTTATCAGGAATTACATCAAATCAATGTTACTTCATAATGTATACTTAATGTCACTCATGTCATTATTTCCTAGGAGTTTTAGGTTGTCTTTTTTTGTCTGGAATCGTTAAGAGAATCATCTGAAAGAACTTTGAAAAGGACAGAGAAGATTATAGGGCATTATCGCAATGTTATTTCAACAATATCATAAAACTTATATCTGGAAAATATTTTTGTTATGTATCATGTTTAGTGGGAAGGAAACATACAGAACAATGAAACATATGAACACATCATATTCTCTCCTCCTTTATCACATTAGTGACTGATGAGACTTTCTGGTTTCAGACACTTTCAGATACAGCAAAAATAATAATCCATTCATGTACATCACTACTCAGCACCGCGGATGAAAAGTCAACAGGCATTTTTTGATGTTGAAAGATCATACTAAATATAGGTACTGATTTGAGTGCCGAATATGATTTGTATAATTTTTGTAGCTGCATGATAAGTCAGTATCATATTGCAATCTTCCTATGAAGAGAAAGTTGGTATATCAATGCTGTTATTGTAGAATGGCGGTAATCATGGGAAATCAAATCATTGTTCAATCAGATTTCCAGGTTCAATTGAACCTTGTCACCCATTGCTCGGTCAGGTGTCTTTCAATTTGTATGCCTCTGTCGATCTATCGATTGTGAGTATTCTCACTCGCAAGGCGCAGAATGAATGCGTGCAAGCACTATCTGAAGAAAAACACGAGTGAACTCAGAAGGGTTCCTTCCATTCCAATTCATAAATGTTTTTCCGAAACAACGAACTATATCTACAAGTTTGGCCAATCATAGCTGTTAACTACAACTGTGGTATTATGTTGAAAAACAGTCCCTGCCCAGCAAACATCTTGATATGGGGCATCGATGGCCTAGTATATTTTTCCCATACCTGACATCAGCGGCCCAGTAAATGGTCCCATATGCGGGACTCTATATATCAGTACACTGCGGCCGGCAGCTGGTCCCAGTGCTGGGTACCCAGCAATCATATTCAGTTCCTCGGCAAAAGGCCAGTACAACATAATCGACACATTGAGTTTCCCATAGCAAGCCCAGCATATACATAAATGATGGGACTGTAATGGCCAATTAACGACATTGGTTACATACTATCGAGGTAGGGGAGGAGTAGGGGGTTTTAGGGGTCCAATGGATCTGAAAGTTCTTGTACCTCTTTATTTCACAACATAACCCACTCATCATAAATCAGACACATACCAGATTTCAAGAAAACAATTTTATGAATGACACAATGATATCTTCTTAACCTCTCTGTTCTTCAACGATGAAACTTCTCGGAGTGACTGCTTACTGGTTGGTGTGTGGTATCTACATCTTATTGGGTAGCATTCCTTCGAAGATGATTCTTCGTTGTGAGGTACTTCTGAAATATAAAATGCATCATTTGTTTTATATTAGTGGTACATGAGTTTATAACTTGATAATATAGTCAAATGACGTGATAATATGGAGCTTTTCAATTCTCATTATGGTGTTGGCACAGGTAATTCTGTAGCTGAAATCTTATTGTTATTCAGTTATTCAATATAGAGATAGGTTCACATAACCTGAGATTGCTTTTGATAGCAACAAACGAGTTGAGAATGATGGTTGCTTTTAGAGAAGTATAGTTAACTCCAATTATCATAATCATTAGGTATATGAGGTTACGAGATACCAATCAAATAATGACATTCATAACACTATGTAGGTACATTGATACTTACTCAATATTATCATAATTGAAGACTCTGTCTTCTATTATTATCAATTGAGAATACTTCTGCCATCATAAATAACCACCACGGAAAGAGAGGACCACATCAATTCGACATAAACAAACTAGACGCGATCACCACTCGCGAGAGTCAGCCATCTTAGTCACATATGATATTGATCAGCTGATTGTTGATGTAGACGTTCTCAAAACATCCGCCAGGGGGACGGGTAGTGAATATGAAATTGGCCAGCAAAGGGCCAGATCTCGTTAGTATTCAATTAGTTCCAGACATCTTACCATCACAAGGCCATCATCGTATTTTTAACTGACTCATCGGCCCATTACCTATACCCCGGCATCGTCACTTTCCCAGACTAACCTGCACTAGGCCGGACTTCTCCCGCTAGTTCGCTGTTTGCTGGGTGATGATTCGATTCTCTTGTCGGTTCAAAGGTAGGTATGGTCGATCCAAAGTCATTTGGCGCACAGATTGGGTTTTTTCAATTCAACATCTTTTCCACGCGATGTAATATGAACATCAATATTCATTGTTCAACAACTGACTTTGGATAGACGATACCACTAGGCTCATTGATGATTTAATTCTAATCGAGATTCATTTAGAGCACCGGAATGTTCTCGTTACTAATTTAACACTACCGTAATACACGAGAGACATCTTCATGTGAGCTCATCAGTCACTAATACCACAAACGAAAAAGAAATACCATGTCCGGTAGTGCAGAATATTAGCTGAATAATTTCTCGCCATAACTGAGTTCCAGCCACTGATGTGATTCCATTCACTTTCTATCATCCGGAGGAATTTATCTTGGAAATCACTAAGCAATCTGTTCTGACCTATTTCAAAGGCAATCATTGCTATTTCAAAGCAGGGGTGACAAATGAAACAAATTAAATCTCGAGTCCTTCTCCATTCTTTTCCACTGCTCGAATGAAAATTCCAAATGCTTTCAAGCGGATATTACAAATCGAATTTGATTAAGTAGTCGAACTAACAATTCCGAGAACTTCCGATATAAACTTCTTGATTAGTCTCGCTCAATACAAAATCTGCAATGGAGAAATCAGCTAATAAAAGAAGTAGCTTGAGCTTCGATTCTAACGCTCTCTCAAAATTGGCAATTCGACTAAATTAATTGTTCTTTCTTATGAAGAAGCAAAGAAAGACAAATCAGATTTCAATAAGGAACTCATTCGTTAGAACGCTGATTGAAAATTTCTCACTCCAAAATTCAGAACCAACTGATCTTGTTTCCGCTTTGATTAATTGAGAATAAGATGGATTTTGAAAGAAAAAGGTCCTCAGCCAGGAATTATGAAAATTGCATCGTCTGGACTAGCAAACACGAATAATTCCTGAGAAATATTTGCACTAAGGATATCAAAATTATACAATTGGTTTGAAGTGTAGAAAGTATTCAACTCGATTATAAAATCCTCTAGTTACTGTTAGAGATATCTCAAAGGAAATTAAATACTGTTCGATCAATGAAATGACGTTTATTGAATTGTATACGCATATACTTTTGTATAAATGAAGATGGAAAAATATATAAAATACATTTGAAATACACAAATGAATGAATAGACAATGCCGATAGCGAGGACCATGAAAATTGGATGAAACAATAGTCCAAAGCATCAGGACAAAATATCTATGGAATCGGATTTGCAAATATTGGGGAATGACCTATTTCGATAAAACGCTCTCATTGGCACTAATGCAATGCAGAATCCATGTTCATTTTGGATATCCACGAAAGCTTTTAACAAAAAATTGAATCTGTTCAAATGCTGTATTTGGGTGGAAAATCGAGCTCATTGAATTAAACAGGTGTATTCTCATCGATTCAATCAGTTGATATCATCAAAATAAAATCACGATTAATAATCGTCAATTTTATTTGCAAAAATAAAGGAGATGAATTCCACCTTCTATCAGACGTACTTATTACACCTAGTGAATGAACCTTGAATACAACTTAGAGTCTTGAGAGCTCAGTTAATGGAAAATCTCCCGTCCAATAACTCCAGTCGTCATTTCTCAGGATTATGTACCCAAATGCCTCTTTATCCCAGATATTGGATTCATGAGTCTACAAGATGAGAGAAACCTTCCCGATTAGATAATTTCGCGCCAACATTTCTGTTCAATGTTATACGCGTACTACCCAGTATTTAGTCTTGAGAAATAAATTAACTTCAGCTAGCCAAGACCGCTTTCATCGAATTCGATCGATGCGAGTATTAAACTTTGAAACCCCGCTTTATCTGAATCGTAAATGCCTGCCAAATTGCTTACAGCATCATCAGACTCAACAGACGAATATCGCGCTTGTAGCAGCTCCCCATGTCAACATGCTAGTACCTGCGTAGACCTTCCATCCGCAACATTCACCTGTATCTGCAACTCAAACTATACAGGTGAGCTACAAAAATCATCGATAGCACCAAGAATCTTTTCTATGTCGGACCCTTGAGCAACTCCATTATCACTTGAAGAAGCAATCAGTTGATTCTTGGTACTGTGTTTCAGGTCCCTTGTGCAACACAGAGATTCTTGCAGTTCAATATGACATTCCAGCGTTTCACGGAAGATCTTATGTGAGGCTGAAGCCACTCAAAGCCTACCACAAACTGAGCGTCGAGTTAGAATTCAAAACCAAAACTGAAGACGGTATTCTTCTGTACAACCAACAGAAAGCAGATGGACTCGGTGATTTCGTTTCCTTAGCGATAGTTAAAGGTTTCGTGGAGTTCAAGTACAACTTGGGCAATGGACCAGTTGTGATTCGGTCATCAGATAAGGTTCAACTTGGCAAGTGGCACCAGGTGGTCTTAAAAAGGTATCACAAGGATGGGATTTTGAAACTGGATGAAGGTGAAGAGATTGCTGGACAAGCTATGGGAAATCTCAAAGCTCTGGATCTGCTTGAGGATACTTTCGTTGGATATGTGCCCAATAACGATACTCGGTAAGAAGAGAAAGGTCTAATGTATTCATATTTCTATCCTTCAAAATTTCCTGGTGGGTGCACTCAATCAAAACGGATTGGTTCATAGATCCTGAACCAGAGTACTTTCTTGGTAGGAAAATGTTCTGATAAAAATTTTCTGTGGAAAAGTTTCAGATTCAAGCGTAAAAGTTCTAGTCAATCCGTTGGAAAGTACCAGTCCATTACGATGTTCACCTTCAAGGACGAATGAATTCAGAAGAGATCGAATTATGAGAAAATGTATTCGAATGATGAAAGTGAGGTTAGGTCACAGGAATGGTAAGAAATCAGAGTACATACATAGCACAGGGCAATACGAAAATTTCACCACAAAACCACATAGGTAACTGTAATATAGGTCACTGTATTGGTATTAGCATCAGCGACCTGATCAGATCTATCTTGCTCCATCTTCTTATAATATCTCAAATTCTCCTTGTTCATAGCAGCCCCTCAGGATTCAGTTCCCTCAGGAATTTTAGGATTTAGAGGGGATATGTTCGTGGTATTTATCCCATCATATAATGATGTGTGTCAGCTAGTATGATCCCAGTATATTCGATCTCTTCTGATGTACAGCATAACACTCGAACAAGATGTGGTATCGTGTGTTTGGATGTGCCCTGCAGAATCAGAAGATACTGTCCTGTCCTCCTTTAAGCATCTCTTGAGTGCTCTTTGGGTCTACAATGTGCTATTATTGCATCGAGACTCAATTTCTTGAGGTTAATCAGTACCTATATTTGATCTAGCACAGTTGAAATTGCGCAGTCCTTGAAATCTCCGCCAGTATGTTGCTGTCAGCTTAATTGAGGTCTTCTTGACAATACCCCAATTTTTAAAGGCCGCAATTCGCTTCTGGTCAGATCTGTGGCGTTGATGTGGAACTAGCACATCGGTTCGGGATTTTATATCTGTACGTATACCATATCGTGGTATTCTTTTTCTGTGCTCGAACGCATTCTCTTGGTTTGTTAGTTCCGTTACACAAAGTTTTCACTGTAATAGAAACAAATGCAATCACTCTTTGACTTCAAAATATATTCTGTATTGTTTCTTGGACACGTTGATAAAACTTGTGATGGAATACTGCTCCGTAACAAGCAATAATACAGATTTTATTAATGCTCTGGAATATTGTGTCGAAACAAACGGAAGTTTTCTCCCCTGATGACGTCTGAGATGAGGTAATTTGATCTCGTTGGTGGAACGTGCAATATCGTATCATGATAAAAAGTCGAGTTGCATTCGTTTCATAACATTTGTGATGTAACAAAATTATTTATTTTTTTGACTGGCCTCTCTTATCGTAGAGCTGTTACAATCATTGTGGTCAACTGGGTCACCGTTCTACTCAGCTCTGAGTATTTTTCAGAGGTGGTCGAAGTCCTTTATGGACATCACGAAGGACCAATACCTTTATGGCAGGGTGTCTGTGTAGGTGTACCCAATAAAGACTCGATCCTCTTCCAAGGCTTGTCTGATCGAAGTCTCTGATAACACTTTGGCCTGCCGGCCCATTATTGTACCTAACCCCGAATATGCCGTTATCGAGTTTACCATATATACGACCCCTGGTTCGTTTACGTGAGGGCCAATTCTATTTTCATCACATAACTAGGAGTACTGCTGCTCCAAGTTGCAGAGGTTCGTTTGAATGACCCCTTCCATTCAGGTTTTTGAAGACTACCCTTCCGAGTCCTGATCCCGTCTGAGTCTTGGTGTGGTCTTGGTCAAATACCTTAATTAACGAGTCTCGAAATTTCCAGCGCATACGAGAACATCGGCACCGACCAGGGCTTCCAGGGTTGCATCAGATCGTTCAGGATCGGCAGACAGGAAATCGAGCTGGACACCAACCAACACGACTGGGTACTGAAGACCGAGGGCCTGTTCGACTGCAGCCGGCACGCCTGTACGCGTACTCCCTGCCAAAACAACGGGAAATGTGTGGAGAACGGCGAGCTGTTCCAGTGCGAGTGTTCGGCTCATTTCGGTGGCAGCTTCTGCGAAAGGCTATCGGATCCGTGCAGTCTGGAGCCATGTCATCGTCGCGCCAAGTGCAGGCCGTACGACGGATCGTTCGTGTGCGAATGTCCAGCAGGACGGTTCGGTCAGCGATGTGAAATAGGTAGGGGCACCGAACATATCGTATGTTGAATTTCTTGTTGCTGAGGAAAAATGTGATAGATAGGACACACGGGTGTGAATACGGTGAGGGGAATGATCGGTATCGGTACAAGACGGTACAAAGTCAGAGGGAGACGACTGAAACGAGACAAGAGTCAATGATAGCTTAGACAGCGTGAGATGAGCGTTAGCTCAACAATCACCAACTAATGCTATTTCGAGGTCGCAAAATACCTAGTCACCGTTTCTGTTCATGTTCGGTGGTAGGAGTGAACGATAGTAATTTTTACAAAAGCGGAGAAGGCTCACGTAACGTTTTTTCTTATGATGGACAGAAATGTCTATATTCTTGTTGACCGATCCAACTGCAACTGGACAGTTGCAACTGTCTCTATTTTTGTTAGTCAGCTACAATTGTCTAATTAGCCAGTTGTAAATGTCTAAACAGACCGTTGTACCTAACTGGCTCAGTAGAAAATTGTTACTGTCTAAATAGACAGTTGCTCCTGTCGTCTGAATAGACAGTTGCAACGGTCTAAATAGACAGTTGAATGTGTGTAGATACACAGTTGTATCTGTCTAGATAGACAGTTGTATCAGTCTAAATAAACAGTTGGAGTAGATGATACATTCATTTTGCTTGATTATTTGGGATTTTTCATTCTCGTTTCTATAAAATGAAAATATGAGTACCTATTATTTCAATATACGTGTAGGTATAGTAGAACAAATCAAATGATTTGCCCCAAAATGTCACTGTGTTCAAAAGAATTCACTATCAGGGAACCTAAAAGAAAAATCCAATCGTTGGTAAGTGACCGTCTGTTTTGGAAAATGTTTGAAGAAATGAAATATAGATATTGAAAAAATATCGAATTTCAACTCACCTGTGGACGTTAATGAATACTTCCTGTAACTCATTTGTACACTAACATAACTCATCCATATGCCAACATCAGTCTGACACTGAGAAGTGTCACACTATAAGACAATTTTCAGGGAAAACGATTTTACATTCATTATGTTGAAAATTGGAGCAGATCTGTTCCCGAAACGGCCAAAGATAAATAAAAATTCGATATTTCTCCAATATATCTATATTTCATTTCTTCAAACATTTTCCATATCTTGTATTGTTCGCCATATTAGATTAAGAATAACGTCACACACCTTATCGTACATAGTCATTCAAACTAAACGTGTTAACAAAATTTCAGCTCAATCGGTTGAAGATATTTACTTCAAAATTGAGTTCAAATATTCCAGTCGAACAAACATACATACATACATTGCAAGCCAAATGAAAGCTTTTTAAAAAAATTACCACTCCTATCTCCTTTTCCTATCCTTCCTAGATACGCACGATCTTTTTCGAAGATTATAGGGATTACCTTACGTGCGCACTGAGCGATAAAAAAAACTTGTTGGGGAAGAAAACCCATAATAAATCAATGATCTTCCTCGATGACAATTCACCACAAATACTAGTATCTTGAGTGTTCCCAACATACTTTTTAATTAAATACCACAAATTCCCGAATTCCGATTCACCAGTAGAAATTGAGACGAACAGTAATTGTGACACAGTGATTACCATTTCTTCATATTCTTAGGATTTCCTCTTCTGATATTGCTATAAATCAAAATATCATTATTTCGATAATATGATTTGCCCCAAAATGTGAAATCAAATTCACATTCAATACATTCAGCACATCCGTTGTCAACCTCGAAAGATGTCGAACAGCACTTTATCAAGACTCCTTCATCCATAGAACGGCTAGGCTCTGGAATTCATTAACTGTGGAAGTATTCCCAACAACATATCGTCCCCCTTATCACGTAGGGGCGAATCTGATTTCTGAATATTTTACAGGAGAGAGAAAAAACGAAAATGGATGACAATTGCATCGCTCTACATTTCTTAATTTGTAATATTTCAAAATAATATCTTAGCATTACAACAGGAACAATATGTTCCTCATACTGATTGTTGTATAAGAAATGTACGAGTTGTTGTTTTTTTTTTATACAAAAAAGTTTGCATATACGCCCATACGTGAGAATGCATTCATTTGGTTCTGTGAGATAGGTCTACTATAATAATAGCGGAATCAAAGTATGAGAGTCGTAAAAGACACAGATTTCATGAAACCTAAATATGTAATTATTGTTATAATAGGAAAAGAACAAAGTATGACAAAGTCCTGGTGAATATTACAAAAAAAATACAACGATTTATTCACTCTTGGTCATGAGGCAACGATCTGAAAAATTCTTGAAACTCTGGCAGTCTAACGACAGGTGTTTCTCCTTTACACAATGACATGAGATCTTCATATTTTCGTTTTTTTATCTTCGGTGCTTCAGAATTCAATGTTGTGAGCTGTATATCGGATATATTTTCTTCCAAACGTTTCAGAGTAATGGAGTCGTATGCTGTATCAAGATGGCTGGTCTTGAAAAATATTTTCTTTGGGTATTGTTTGGTGACCATTACTTCCATAACATCCGGCCATTTCATAACATTGCCTCTTTCGGTTTCTCTAATTGTCAAAACTCGAAGTTTTTTTGAAAACGACTTAAAATCTTTGAACTCACCATAACTCATTGGCACAACACAATATGGCTGTTTTCTACGTGCTAAACGAATTATAGGATGAAGCTGGGAAGGAATGTAAAGGTCTCCTGCAGCAGAAATCGCACTGGAAATAGCACTATGTGCTGAATCACCTTCACTTTGGCCATGATTGGTTTCAAAATACCGTAGAGATATTTCCTCTAAAGATGATAATTTAGTCAAAGAATACATTAACATCGCTGGAATTATAGAATTCTTATTCTGCCCAAAACATCCATCAGCAAATAAAGTAACACTTCTTATGGATCTTTTGTTGTATTCTTCTAAGACCCTGTAAATACAGGTTGCAATCTCTGAGGAACCACGTTTACTTATGGCTTCATGCCAGACAAAACAGAAACATTCCTTATTGGCAAGATCGTAAAATGTGAAGTTGAAATTTGACAATCGGCTTTTATAAAAAATTGCGCTTTCCTTTGAAATAGGCAGATATATAACTTGCTGCAAATCAACTACTCCACATAATTTCAATTTATTTTCTTGAGCCTCTCTTTTACATTCTGTTTTAATCTGTCTGACAGTGGTTTTTTCTTGGATGTGAGTGTTATATCTGTCCCTCAAACTATTTTTTGTATTTTCGTCTCCTTTACAATAAGTCATACATAGGGAACATTGATCTTTTTTGGGCGAAAAGAATGATAAGTTTTTCTGCTTGAAAATTTTTCTGTACAGACTGTAACTTGCCTTATTTTCAACTTGTCCTTGTATTTCCAAATCTTCGAGGAACATTGCATACATCTTTCTTAAAGAAAGATCTGGATGAAGATACATTCTCGTAGTCTTTGAACGACAATAGTGTGATTCCACTCTCGGAAATCTCTGTATGTGTTGCTCTATTGCATTACGCACATTTCCCTCCTTCAACTGTATTCCTGCACTTCTCTGTCTGCCGCCCCTATTGTCTTTTTCCAACACACCTGAATCATTTATCTTGGATAGAGCTGTTCTACACATTTTTTCTGTGATTCCTAATGTATTCAAAAATAATTTTTTGCACACAACTATAGCCTCATTATCTACAGTCAGCTTGTATATTATGGTATATTTCCTTCTAGAATTTTCTTTATTGGTCGTAGTTCTTCTTGTTTTTCTAACTTCCAAATGCCTCGCCAAAAATTCTCTTTGAAGTTGTAAGTCACCAGAGCTATTGAAACTATTGAACACTTTATGTCGCTGTTCATCGCTAATTTTAAAACAGTTTTTTCCGTAAACTTTGCATGTTGCTGAGTTACAACGGTTTCTCATAAATCGAGCAGGAACAGATTTCTTGGTATTGGGACTTATATACTCCAGACCTGAAATTAAAAAAAAAATTATATTCTCGAATCCCATTTCCAATTAATAATATCAGTACTCACCGCGATTCCGCAATGATTTGGCTACTTGTTGTTTATTCGTTTTTCGAGGCTTGATTTCACCTTCTCTTTCCTCGCCATCTAAAAAGAAAGATTCTGGCATAGGTTGTTTATTTGCAGTACGTCTTTCCATATAATTTTGGGTTTCATCGTGAAGAACACCTCTGTCAGATTCCACAGATAACCTGATTTCCGTGTTTTTTCGACCATGATTACAGCTTCTGAGATCTTCATCGAAATGTTTGAAACATAATAGAATTTGGCAGTTGGGACAGGAAGAAAAAACTTCAGATCCACAGGTGACAACTTCACAGGTAACAGTAGGATCGGCGTCAGAATCGTCTATCGGTGAATAACTTCTGTTTGTGTGATGATCTACGTCAGGATCGTCTATGGGTGAATAACTTCTGTTTGTGTGATGATTTCCATTATTATTTCTGTCGGCAGACTGCCACGCGTTTTGCAGTTCTTTGAGTTGTACTAGTGGTATATCATCTGCAGAATCGAAGCTGGGTTCCTCACAATCGAAGTCCATGGGTGAATAACTTCTGTTTGTGTGAAAATCTCCATTATTATTTCTGTCGGCAGACTGCGACGCGTTTTGCAGTTCTTTGAATTGTACTAGTGGTATATCATCTTCAGAATCGAAGCTGATGGGTTCCTTACAATCAAATTCCATCATTTCAACTGCCAAAACTGTACCATAATACCACCGTTTCTTGTACGACATTTTAACAGTACATCCTACACTTATCAAATCACACTTGACAGTTTTGAGCTCTGCAGAAGACACCACATTCTTCGAACCATCTCTCCAACGTACAAGCACGTCCATCTTGAGCAACATAAACAAACGAACTGGAGACAATGGAATACACTATTTTGAGGTTATAATTGCATACTATGAAACAGGTGATGTCAGTTACGCCTCATCAGGTTGATCGGCACTATAGCAAATATTTTGTCACACGTATAGGCGTATCTATTTTACGTCTCTACGTGAAG